CCTGCGGCGCGCCCACGTTTTATTGAATAGACAATATGCCCCATACCGGCGTCCTTTCCCTGTACCCAATTCATCGGCGCGTCCTCCGTCGCCCATCCATTATGCGTATGCGCGCCCAGGACCTGTGATAACAAACAAAACTGTCTGTCTCAAAATGGCAAAGGTAAATATGACTAATGAGCAGAAGCCACCGGGGTAAAATCGGGTACATGGATTTGAATCGAGATTTCGCGCTTTTTTTTAATTCGCCATGCGGCGCGTGTGTGGATTTTTTTACCGCTTTCAGTATCACCTTCGCAGTTCAATTAACGTTACATGAGTCGCTACTCAGCGAATTGAAAAAAACGCGAAATCCACGCGGTTGAAAAAAACGAAAAATCTCGATTTAAATCCATGTACCCGATTTTACCCCCCGTGAGAGCACTAGACACTAGAGCCAGTTTTTAAATTTTTTCCAGCTCGAATTAACCCAAGTTGGATTTATCGTACAAATAATTTTCGAAATTATTGGTTTCTTCTTCCTGTATCCATGCATCGCTGTCGTTGTTTGGTTCGTGGCTAAATGGAAGTATGACAAGTAACTTATCGCTTCCTATTGTTAAATATGAACAAATTCAATGAATAATTTATTATACTCTGATACACACCGTTTTATAAAGATTTCGGTTCCTCGGCACGACTCTGACTCAAACTTGGCATCTCTTCATGTATCCCTCTCTGAACTCTACTTGGATTTCATCAATGTAGAATTTGAATTATATCATTCTTACCTTCTCCTTTTCATTCTTTTTCGGTTCTGACTTATCTTCTGCACTCCCTTTTTTCTTCTCCTCTACTTCCAACACTGCCATTTTTTGACGTGGAATTCGAAGATCACGAAGTCGAGACTTCGAATCAATCACCTCTACCGGATTCTGAAAATTCTAACTTGAATTGAAAAAAGGAACTGTTTGGGTGTCACCGGTTCCCCAGGAGTACTCAATTCTCCTTCAGCTTCTTCACTTGACGATTTGTGAGTTCTGATGTGGATTTCGTGAGTTTTCTTATCAACACCAAGGAGCAAATGAAGTGTATTAAGTAAGTCACCGTAAGTAGCATTCTTCGGAAGATTAACTACAATCGGTTTCGCAAGATACAAAAAAGACCAGAGTTGTTGATCAGGCTTCTTTCTTATCTTCCTCTTCCGTCCACTTTTCGACTTTGGTACCTGGATTTTTTTTGACTGACGACCACTTCCACGAATATTTGACCGTTCAGCACCAACACCATCTTGAGACAGTTCCCCATCATGTTCAGCTATTTGCTTCGGAGACAATTCGCGAGTGAATGCACTAGATGGAGATGTGGCAGTGAAACAGGATGTGTGCTTTTCTGAATTCGTTCTAATGTTGACTGTTATTTTTTGTTATTGTTAAATATACCTTTCAATTGCTGTGGTGTACAGTTCACACAGTAAAAGTGGCCACATTCCAAAAGTTCCAACTTCTTCAGTCCTCCGATCAGCTGCAATCAAACTAATTTTTTGACAGAAAACATTCATTTTTCTCACCTTCTTACACAGATCACATTCTAGAGAAATATCCATTTCATCTCCGACCTAAAACCAATAGTTTATCAACTCTGAATCTAAATTCTAAATCCCACATCATCTTCTGTCCGTTCCATTGTTGAAGAGGTTGATGAGAGCACAAGTTTGGATACCGAATTCAACCCCGTTCTGGAACAAGGGCTAGACAACAGTTGTTATAGCTTTTATTGGAAATCTTACTGTATTTTAGAAAGATTCGCTTTTTCCTTTTTCGACATCTTTGATATCAAATGTTTGCGCTGAAATAATAACAATCAAAAATAATGAATTCATGGGAAGCTTTTTTTTTGCAGATTTACTGTTTTCTGTTTTTTGTAGCATCCACGCTTCGAAATAGTTTCATGGTTTTTTCATACAATGCTTTGCATCTGGGTCACTTTCAAAGTTTTTGAGACCTCCCTTCTTCCTCATTAAAATCAGAATACTGTAAAACATGTAATAGAAGGGCCCCCACACTTTCAAGTTTTAGCTCAATTATCTCTATTCTTGTGCAAAATGTCAAACATGTGCCAACTAGCAAAACAGTTCTGATATTAACGCAAACAATTTATTAGTTGACAACTTTTCTATGTTCTTGACAGCAACTGAGATAAATTGGCTTAAAGTTCGAGAGCCCTTTTACTACAGGCTGGAGCAGGAACTGAAGGAGCTTCTGGTGCTGCGGGTTCTGGTGCTGTTGGTGGGAAGTTGGCTGCTGCAAGAGCATTTCCTTCGGTTGGAGGGACTGGAGCAGGAGATTCAGGAGCTGTAACTGGTGTTGCTGCCGCCGGTGATGCTCCTGGTGGAATCTCAGGATTTGGAAGAACTGGAGACATAGTCATAGGGATTGGTGAGAAGTTGGCTGCTGCTGCAAGAGCATTTCCTTCGGTTGGAGGGACTGGAGCAGGAGATTCAGGAGCTGGAACTGGTGTTGCTGCCGCCGGTGATGCTCCTGGTGGAATCTCAGGATTTGGAAGAACTGGAGACATAGTCATAGGGATTTTGGGATCACTTTTTTGACTATGACTAGACTTTGTCTTATCCTTCTTCTTATTCTTCTTCTTCTTTTTCTTCTTATCCTTCTTAGCCTTTGTTCCAGTTGTTGATCCCGTTGTGAATCCGGATTTTGTGGTTTTTGTTCTTCTTGTAGTGCCTGAAACAAAGTTAAGAAGGGTTTAGATAAACCTCTGTTCTTACCAGTGGCAGTTGTACCGAACGTCGAAGTTCCAGAAGTTCCAGAAGTTCCACTCATTGTTCCACTTTCCATATCATACGAATCATCAAATCCTCCAGGTGTATTCTTTGCCATTTCTTGTTCTCTTTTCTTTCTCATATACCACCAAACTCCCACTCCCGAGCATGAAATACAGATGAAAAAGACAACTACAAGAAGAATAATTCCAGGTGTAACATCCATTTCTGTCGTTGGGGCAGGAGTTATTGGCGCGAATGTTGGAAGAGGAGGAAATGTCTGTTCAGGTTTCTCAGTCGGAGGATTTGTTAAAGGAGGTGGATTCGTTGGTGGAGGTGGAGGTGGAGGAGGAGGTCCTTTGATGAGACTTGGGATAACCATGGCCGCCACTGTGCAGATTCCGAGGATCGCCATGAAGATCTGAAACATGAAGACATTCTTTTCAGTCTGTGTAGTCAAACCTTACCGCCATTTCGACCAGAAGGAAACAAGGAAAACCTTGGAGTCCTCAGGATAGTGGTTTGACATTTCTGTTGTAAGCTGAATTCAGAGCAATCTTGTAAACAGTTGGATGTGAGCTCGTTTTTTACAATGTTTATTTTTATTTTAATTATAAAACGTTGCTGACAATAATACATATTGTGCCATGGTTGTTGATAGATGTTCGCAAATCCACCGTAAACACTCCAATAGAACGTCACTCATCATTTTCAAGTTTGAGCTAATTTATATCGGTTCCTGAGAAAAATATCAACACATGGTCAAATGTCAAAATATCATTGATGTTATGATCAACATTTTGTCAATTAACAACTTTTTGATATCTGTCACGGGAAATGAGATACACAGGAAATGAGATACGCGAACAATCCGCTACGGACGCTCAGCGTTCGCG